GGAAATAAGGGTCGGGTGGGAGTTAACAGATGATGATTGGGATTCGGTGGGAGTTGGGGTAGGTTGGGATTAGTATCGAGATGGAATTGAAGTGAGGTCGAGTATTGGTCGGGATGGGCTGGGATCGGGTTCAGGGGGAATCGTAGGGTGGAAGTAAGAGCGGGTGGGAGTCGAGGTAGATTGGGGGTGAGGTGGGGGCGGTCGGGAGTCGAGGTGTATCGCGATCAGCTAAGATCGGGTTCGGAGGAGCTTGAAGCGGGATTGGGGCGAAATCGGCATGGGCTGGGATCGGGATCGAGGGGAACCTTCGTGATTCGGGATCCGGGGGGGGTAAGGGTAGGTGGAAAACGAGGTCAATTGGGGTCGCGGTGAGTTGGGACGGGGGTGATATAGAAGTGGGTGGGGTTCGATGTGTGTCGGGAAGTCGGGATCGGTTGGGATTGGGTTTGGAAGAGATTGAAGTGAGATCAGTTATAGGATGGGTTGGGTTCGGGGAGAATCGGAGTGGGTCGGGATCGGGGGGGGAGTACGGGTGGATAGGGATCGAAGTAGATTGGGATTGCAGCGGGTCGGGGTCGAGGGCAAGATAGGAGTGGGTGGGAGTCGAGGAGTGTCGGGGTTGAGTTGGGTCGGGTAGGGGTCGGGGTTGGTTGGGGTTGGGTTCGGTGGGGATGAGGGTGGGATCGGTTAAAAGTCGGGATGGGTTGTGATCGGGTTTGGGGGGGAGTCGAAATAGGTAGGTCGGGATCGGGGATGGGGAGGAGAGGTTGCGCGGGAATCGAGGTGGATTGGGGTCGCAAGAGGTCGGGGTCGGGGGCGATGTGAGAAGGAGGCTTAGGAGGGGAGTTGAAGTGTGTCGGGATCAGAATGAGTTGATGTGGGGGGCGAGGTGAGCGCAGGCGTGAGGTGAGGTGGGTTGGGATCGGGGCGGGTCCGGATCGGGTGAGAGTTGAAGTGGGTTGGGATTGGGTTTTGGTAGGAGTCGAGGTTGACTAGGGTCGGTATCGGGAGGGAATCGATATGGGTCGGGATCGGGAACGAGAAGGGGGCAGGTTGGAAAGGAGGCGAATTGGGAGCCAATGGACTTGGGGCGGGGAGGGGAGTCCAATCAGGGGTGGGGTCGATGGTGGGAGGGAACTTGGGATGAGGCGAAGATGGAGATAGGAGAGGGGTCGGGGTGGGGATCGGAGAAGGATTGGGGTGGAGTAGGAAAAGGGGGGGGAGTAGGGTCGAGGCAGGGTTGGGCCGGGGCCGGGGTGGAGACTGAGTTGAGGTTGAGACGGAATCAGGGCGGACTTGATTGGGGGGCTCTAATTAGATGGCAGACCGTGAGGTTGACAAGGGGATTTGGCAACGGATTGCCGTGGCAGGAAGGGGAGGGGATCGAGAATGGTGGGGGGACAGATGGAGGGGAGTTAGCGTGAAACTTCACTCGTAAAAAACTTCTCTTTATGCTTGAAAGTCGGTGCCTTGGGACCCCTTTTACAACCAAATCCCTTAGAGGAAGCAACTTGATTATGACGACCGCTTTGGAGACTTCCTTTGTCAATTTTGCCTTGACCCTTCTTTTCCTTAGATCTGCAACTCCTTGTGCGATGAAATTCCTCTCTCTTTATTCACACTTTCTTACTCTCTATCTCTCCCTCTCTCTCTCTCTCTCACTTTCTCTCTTTCTCTCTCTCTCTCTCTCTCCTTTGCTCTCTCTCTCTCTCTCTCTCTCTCTCGCTCTCTCTTTCTTTCTCTCTCAGCTTGCTTTTTCCCTCACTCTCTCTCTCTCTCTCAATCTCCCTCTATCTTACTCACTTTCTCCTTCTCTTTCTCCCCCTATCTCCTTTCATCCCTCTCTCCACTTCCCCATTCTTTCCCTCATTCTTCCTCTCTCTCCCTCTCCCTTCCTCTCTTCTTCACACTTTGCTTTCTTTCGCCGGAAATTTCTATTGGGATGTTGTCCTCCGTGCTTAGTTATGCAATGGCTCACTGGTTCTTTCGCGAGCACCGCACGATGGCGGTTTCGTGTGATGGCAGAGTCGCGGATGGTGGTGCGATGGCGGACATGCGTCGCCCGGGTGGGGCGTGTTGGCGCAGTCGCGCGTTTACCGGCGGCGCGGTCGCGAGTCTTCCTCCGACGAAACAATCTTGTCATCATCAGTTTATATATTTTTTTTCGGTCTTCCGATTTACTTGGGACTTGTATTTTTCACACACACACACACACACACACACACACACGCACACACACACACACATCCACACACACACACACACACACACACACACACACTGTATCCACACACACCCACACCCACACACCCTCACACCCACACACACACACTCTCTCTCTTTTTCTCTCTTGCGCGCGCCCTGAGAGAGATAGAGAGACAGAGGGAGCACTTGCTCCCTCACACAGTTGCACGCCCATGCGTTTTTTTTTTGTTTTTTTTTTTTAATCAATCAATTAATCAATCGACAATCAATTAATCAATATCAATCAATATCAATCAATCAATCAATCAATCAACCAATCAATCAGTCAACCAAAAATTGTTTCCTTTTTTTATATTTTCCCCCGTTTTGAAGATTTTTTTTGTTTAATATAAAAACATACCAAAATAAAAATAGAAATGGGGCTCTAGAGCACGAAATGTTCTACATCGCCATTTTGTTTTCCCTTTTTTTGGGGTGGGTTTCGTCACTTTGTACGGGCACGTATGAACATTCGTACGACCGTATGATAGAACCCCCGTATGACTCACGGGGGTATTGACGGGCACCACCGACGTCACTCCCAATCAGTTGCAGTTGGGGTGGAAACCTAGATTTGCCCTGGATTTCCTCCTGCCTGAAAACTGACCTGCTGCAACTCCTAGAACCATTGAATTTGGTGTCCAGTACGAAAAGTTGTTGCACCAAGCTGTCAAACACATTAAGAAATCTCAGGAAGGAATCGCCGACAATCCACATTTCAAGTAGGGGAATGTGTCTGGGTTGAGGCTAGTGAGTTGGGACATGAATTCAACATTTCAAGGAAACTAATGCCTCAATACTTTGGTCACTGGGTAGTCTTAGATAATGTGTGTAGTGAAGAGGATGATCCCTCGTATGTGATTCGAATCCCTGCCACGCTGGTCATCTACGCATTTACCCTGTGTTTCACGCCTCAAAGCTTGCACCTTTCATTGAGATACAACAGTTTTCATCAAGGAGATCTATGCTGCCCCCAACCATGGATGGCCACGTGGACGTCGACGACATTTTGGAGCACAGTGACATGCTTGTTCCCAAGCCTATCGGCAGAGGAAGACCGCTGAAACATAAGACAGAATACAGGGTCAGATTCAGGCATCACACGAATCCAAAAGAAGACCGATGGTTCACGAGAGAGGAACTAATTGAAAAAGCACCTCAGATTGTGGCAGATTATGGAAGAAGGTCGAAGGGGATGGCACCTGCATAACGGCATCTCAGCGGACTTTCGAAGCTAAGGGGGATGGAATGTGAGGAACGTGTCCTCAGGGGCCCTTAGACAACATGCATACGTTGTGCCTGTGGGCCCCCAGCAAGCCTCGTGCCCGCCCTAAGTGAAGGCGGGCCTGTTTTTTTTTTTACGAGAAACCTCTATGTCAACATTTTCCAAACCGCATCTCAGCCAGTTGCTGTACGATAGTTGGTTGAAGTAAAACCTGAGCCTTACCATGGACTCCCCAGAGGAAGCAACTGTGCAAGGCAGTTGAGCAAAGACCTGGGTGGTTGTGCCCTGGGCACACACATGTTGAGGCTGATACATCATGAAGTGGCCGCAGGCCAACAAGAAAGCAGCATTGTTGTCGTATCTGCCCGTGGACTAGTGCAAATGCAGCAAACAATCGAAGTCTGGAAAATACTGGGTCTGTCCAACTGTAAAGGGCCCAGACCCTCAACTGTCGAAGAAGGGCCTGGGCGCAGGTACTGGGGCCCGACCGGAAGCTACTGAAAATCGCCACGGCTAGGCCCACACAGTCCAGCAGCGGCTGCCACTTCCATATAGGAAGCAGGGCAGCCAGGGGGACGTATTATGGCCAATGCCGGCATTGCGGACACACTACTGCGCTAGCGTGCAAGTGTCTGCATTGCGCAGCTGCTGGCTGGGGCACGCATGGGCGCTGCGAGGTGAGGGCGTTGCAGGGCAGCGGGGCGCTAGTGGCCATAGCCGGGCTGCAGGGCGCGAGGCAGGTGAAGGGTGACAGGAGGGTCTTCGGGAGGAGGCGCAACAAAAGTGGGAGACGGGGTGATGAGGGGAGACGAGGATAAGTACCTGGTGTATGTGAGAGGTTGGCATTGGTGTTGACGACATGTACATTGGTCTTCAGAGTCGAAGTGAGTCTATTGCGAGAACGTAGATAGTATAGACAGACAAGTAGAGTAGGTTGGGCGCTGGGCGCCAGACAAAGAGGAGCTACATTGAATACTGTGTTGGTGTGGCCTGAGGGCTTGAACATTGGCTCACGAGTTCATTGGATAGCTCTCATTTGGATGGAATCTTGGTGCATTTGAGCTCTCTGTCTGTACATGACTATCTGGACATCTGCGTAATTTTGCAATTTGGTTTTCTGTATATCGCTCTCGCTCATATTCCTTGGATTGTTTTGTTTTTGTGGTTCCTTCCCCCCCCCCCCCCCCCCCCCCACTTGTATCTTTGTATCTGTCCATTAAAAAAAAAAAAAAAACATGTGCAACATGTTTGTCCCACCAGCAATCACAAAAAAAATGAAAAAATAAAATCCCTTTTTAAAGTTCTTTTAAGTTTTTTATTATTATTTTTTGGATTATAATACTTTTTTTTTTCGTTTTCTGCTTTCTAAAAATGAAAAAGAACGTTGAAATCAAAAACAAAATATGGGGTTGTAGCCTGTAGGGATGTTCAAACCGTACAATAGTACAATCCCCCCCTTTTTTTTTTGCCTATCATTATTTTTCTTAAATATGACAAATTCTAGGGCGCCCCAGACCACTCGCAATCGAGGCCGGCGGTTAGGTTCCCGACCGCCAGGTGAGTTGGACCCCGCGGTCATGACCGCCGAAGATACATAGAATCCAGCAACAGGTGCAACTGCATGTGCAGCCACAACCGCCACTACATCGTCAGAACCCGAGTCTACAAGGTAAGCTTGTGTCCTTCCACCATGCTGCCCTACCCTTGCAACAACATCCCATGCGTCCACAGCAGCAGCAGGCAGTGCAACAGCAACAACAAAAGCAGCAGTGTAGACAAGATCAAACTCAGCAGCAGCAGAAGCAGCAATAGCAGTAACAGCAGCAGCATCAACAACAAGAACAAGAACAAGAACAACAACAGCAATAGCAACAGCAACACCAACACCAACACCAATAAGAATCTCAGCAACAACAGCAGCAACAGCAGCAGCAAACACAATAGGTCCACCAGCAGCAGATTCAACATCAGGCATTTGCACAGCGGCAGCACCAGCATCACGAACAAGTAATTTCACGGCAACAGCAGCAGTAGCACCAGCAACAGGTAATTTCACGGCAACAACAACAGCAGCACGAGCAGAATCTTTCCCAACAGCAGCTGCAGCAACAACAGTACGTGCTTTCCCAGCATCAGCAGCAGCATCAGCGGCAGCATCAGCAGCAGCAGCAGCAGCAGCAGCAGGCTCTTTCTCAGCAACAGCAGGAATCACCATTCCCATTACAGCAGTTTGCTCAACAGCACCAACAGATTAGTCAGCAGCATCAGCAACTTTCTAACCTGGATCAATTGTCTCAACAAGAGCAGCTCTCTCAGCAGCAGCAGCAGAATCTCTCTCAGCTGCGGCAGCAGCAACTAGCTCAGTGGCAGCAGCAGCAGGAACTGCATCTTGGGCAGCAGAACTAGCGTCTCTATTTTCAGCAACAACAGCAGCAACAGCAGCAGGCACTAAGGCAGCAGCAGCAAATAGCAGAAGCTAACAGAATCTCACATCATCACATGGTTATGCAACAGTCGCCTCTGCATAATACTCAAGCTGCAATGCAGCAAAGCAACCCTCAGCAAACTCAACGGCAGGGCCAACCTCAGTCCCAAAATGCACAGCAGGCAGGCCTCTCAACAGGAGAATGTGCATTCTCCAATGGCCCAACAGTCAACAATTCAGTTTATCCAACAGCAACAGCTCCAACACAGCACCTGCAGCTCCGGCACCAGCAACAGCAGCCACAACAGCAAGCAGCATCCAGCCCTTCAGACCAATCTCAGCAGAATCAACAAAGGAACAGTTTTCCATGCAGTTCATGGTTCCTCTGTCAATATGGGTGTGTGTGGTGAGATGGTGCAGATGCCTCTCCCTTTCCCAGCGAGCAAACAATAAGCATCCCTAGCAATAATGGTTAGGTATTTCCAGCATCAGGGGGGTTCTGCAACAATAGGGGGCTGCTGGTGGTCTTTCAAGTGCAGTTCCAGGAGGGGATGACCTGCGCGAGGAATGGGAAGGCCATTCGATCATGCAGACGCTGTAGAAGGGATTGTGTGGGCCTTCTATTGTGTGTTAAAAACCTGTAGGATCTGCCAGTCAATCGAAGAGTAGTGGGTCCAAGGATGACTCTGATCCATCACTCTCGAGGTCTGAAAGCAAGTCGAGATGACAAAAATCGCATCGTATACTTGTACAGTTCTTTGGTCAGTTGGGATAGTTGTCAACTTGTGCATGGTCTTTCTGTGAAATGTCAGTGCTCCCCGTTCTGTGTATTGGAACTCTTTTTGCTATAGCTGTTACATTTTATCCTGCTGTAAAAACGCTTGCCGTTCTGAACCAAAACAAGAAGGAATAGACGTTCCCTTTCTTCTGCAGCAGCAATTCGTCGTTTATTGGAGAACCATGTCGGAAAGTGCATGTGTGTGTGTGTGTGTGTGTGTGTGTGTGAGAGAGAGAGAGAGAGAGAGAGAGAGAGAGAGAGAGAGGGGTGAAAAA